GCTCATTTAAAAGTGCCTTACAATGTTTGGAACAGGTTTTAAATGCTTGCAATCGTTAGCCCACCTCCTGAACCCTATGCAAACTTAATTTGGTGTTGTTCTGAGTCGTCTTTAATTTTTGGTGATTTTTTGAATTTTCTCTCATTGGAAAGTGAGCGAAAACGGACATTGGAAAGAGCTTCAAAAGCAGCAAAACGGAGATCAAAGAGCTCTTTCCGATGTCCGTTTTCGCTCATTTAAAAGTGCCTTACAATGTTTGGAACAGGTTTTAAATGCTTGCAATCGTTAGCCCACCTCCTGAACCCTATGCAAACTTAATTTGGTGTTGTTCTGAGTCGTCCTTAATTTTTGGTGATTTTTTGTTTTCCCTATTTAAATGCATTGAACTGTCCATTCAATTGATTTAAATGGGGAAAATAAAAAAATCACCAAAAATTAATGAAGACTCAGAACAAAACCAAATTAAGTTTGCACATGTTTCACAAGGTGCACTATGGAACCCATGCATTTAAAACAGGTTTCAAACATTTTAAGACACTTTTAAATGAGCAAAAAGGGACATCTTTAAGTGAAATTCCCCCATAGAGAACATCGTTAAATGATGGGGGAAATTCCTCAAAAAAACCCATCGCTGTGTGAATTCATCGTTGTATGAAGCAATCGTTGTGCGAGGCACCACTGTATATCCATATTTATGAATGTGACTGTGCCACACAGTTAAAATAAGGAACAGCTAGCTGCAGCTTTCCATATACTGTATTTTTCTGTTTATAAGACGACCCAATGTATAAGATGACCCCCCCTTTTCTAATCCCCAAATTAGAAAATTTGCACAATCTCACGCCTTTCATGGCTGCTTCAGGATCAAAGGGGTGCGATTGTGCTGCCCTTTCATGGCTGCTTTACCTTAAGGATAAAGCAAAAGGCAGGAAAAGTGGCTGCCTTCTGTGTATAAAATGACCCCCAATTTTTTGTCTAATTATTTAAGTAAAAAGTGTCATTTTATATACAGAAAAATATGGTATTTTGCTCTATAGCTCTATCAATCCCTCATCACTGGGCATGTTGCCTAAGGGCCCATCTGTAAATTGCACTAGAGTAAGCCCTCTGACTCTATGAGGATCTGGTGAGTCAACTCTTCCATAAGTTCAATTGATTCATATGGGTTTACTTTAACTGTGCTTTATTATGTTAAAGTAAGGGTCTGATTGCACCTGCCAAATGAACCCCAGTTATATCGATATGGCTGTTTTTTTAGATTGTTTCATAAATTCCTAAGTACAAGACGCAAAACCATGCTTGACTCATTTTCCCAGCCAGCAGTTTATTTCTCCCTTGCCAGGAAGGTTGTTTTATTTTGCACTGATGATGAAACGCTTCATTGTATTCTCGAAGGCTTTCACAGCTCGGATCCGATGGTTGTTGTAGGTTTTTCGGGTTGTTTGGCTGTGTTTTGGAGGTTTTTCTTCCTAATGTTTTGCCCGTCTCTGTGGCCGGCATCTTCAGAGGACAGGAGTTAGAACTCAGAGTAATATGTTAGGAAGAAAAACCTTCAGAACACTGCCAAACAGCCCGAAAAACCTACAGCTATCAAACGCTTCATTCCTTACCATTTCAGCCTGTGTGAACATTGCTGTCACTTTATTTCCTTTGCAAAGGGGTTGTGTTTCTGGGTGCTGTGGCCACTTCATGGCCACTGTGTTCATTTCTTTCTTTTTTTCCTTTTAAAGGTATATCAACAAACTGGCTCGTAATGAGACAGGCGATCCCTTAGATAGCCAAGTAACAGTAATTGCTGCTAGCAAAAACAGCAGGAGACAGCCTTCCACCCTCCCTTCAAAAGAAGGCTTAAACAGAGGCATTTCTTGTTTTTCCTCTCTCTCTCTTTAAACCTTTGCAAAGTCATTGGGTAAAGTGAATAAAGGAGGGAAGGGAAAGAGAGCGGAGGAGAGAAGGCTCGGGTCTGTCTTATTGCACTGTCGATGTTCTGCCAAATAAAACTTGTCTGTCTGTAAGGTGCCAGAGGAATCCTTGTTGTCTTCCTGCAAAGAGTTGTGGCCACTTTAAAATTTAAACAGATTTATTACAGCATAAGCCAGGGAACCTTGTACTATAATTAATATAGTAAAAATAATTAGTCTCAAACAGAACGAAAGAATTCAGTGTTTTAAACTACAATTTCTCAAAAAAAAAAAAAAAAAAAACCCTCGCCAACACGGCTAGAGGATTCTAGGACTTATTGTCCCAAAAAATGTTTCTTTCACTAGTTCTGTTCTTCAAAGGTGTCACACAGCTCTTTATTGTTAGTACTCCTAAGCCCAGGTACACCAAGTAAACATAGTAAGTGTGTTGAGCCTTGCAGCCAGGCAGCACAATGCTGTCTGTCTTTCATTCAGAGGTGGGTTTAGTCCTAGAGTAATGGTTCCCCACTTGAGGTCCCCAGATATTCTTGGACTAAAACTTCCAGATGCCTTCTTCACTAGCTGTGCAGGCCGGGATTTCTGGAAGTCATAGTCCAAGAGCTTCTGAGCAGCCAAAGTTGGGAAGTTCTGTCCTAGAGAACTGTATCAGCCCTCACCACAGATTAGAACTGTTAGAAGTTGCAGCCTGACCACCCTGGCCTCACTCAAAGCACCATTTACTTTGATGGTGACTGACAATAACCTAATTACAAGCCATCAAGTCCCTTATGACTTACAGTGACCCAGGTACAGTCTAGGTATAGTCAATGATGATTATTCCTAAGTAAATGTAAATATAGGCTTGTGCCCACACAGGACAATCCCATGCATGTTTACTCAGAAGTAAGCTCCACTAAGTTCTAAATTGAAGGTAAGGCTTAACTACAGGGCTAGGAAACTTTCCAGATATTTTACATTTCAACTTCCAAAGGCCAGGTAAAGGACTATGAAAGCTGTTATCCCACACACCTGGTGAGCCGAAGGTTCCTCATCCCTGCCTTATGAAGTTCGAGGGGTTCAAGTTCATCAACAGATCTATTCAAAAACTGCCTGAATTGGTCCTTTGTCCATTACAGAAGGCTGATGGTCAGAAACAGCCAGGGATGCTAACTGCTGGAGTGTGAATTGCTCTTTAAGGGACAAATTCCAAAAACCTGCCAACCCTACTTCAGTGTACTGAGCATTGCTCCCCAATCTTAAGTCTGCCTACTCAGTCTTAACCCCAACTGAAAAAAACATATACAGTGCTGCTGGAAATGGTATGTTGGGTTCATGCCAATAAAATAAATGAGTACTTTTAAGGAGATGTTGTCAGAATTTGTGATTCATTTGCATCCAGTTTACAGTAAGGAGAGAAGATACTCTGCTTACACCACATTTTGTGAGTAGGATAAAATGATTTGAAGGTGGAGTTCCTAACTCTCAGATTTATTTTTCTATGTTGGTTGTTTGACCATTCTTCTGCTTTTGGTGATGTGATGACTGATGCATGAATGTACTAAATTATGTTTGTTTTATTTTTTAAAAGATGCAGGTAAGATTCCTACATTATTGTGAAAAAAAGATAAATATTAGGAAGGATCCAACCCTTCCAGGAACTCTCCAACCATTGGTTAAATATTTGTTGAATCAATTGACGTCTGATTATGTATGTGATATAATTATGTATCTGGCAGGCACATCTAGGAAAGAAGATCTGAGAGCTACAGCTGCCTAACACTCATTTGTAGAAGGTTGTATAACATTAGAAGGGGGTGTGGTTGTGAGTCAGCACGGTGTGGCCATTATGAAAGGAATCTACACTTGTGATTTTGCCATGGCACTGAACTTGCCATTAATTAGACATGATGGTGCTGGAAGAAAAGTCTGTAGATACCTTAGAGCGCCAGAAAGACATATAAGCGATTCTTGGAGAAAATCAAGCCCAAATTCTCTCTAAAGGCAAAAATAATGAAACTGAGGCACTCGTACTTCAAGCATATCATGAGAGGAGAAGAGTCACGGAAAAAGACAATATATTAAAGGCAGCAGAAAAAGTGGAAGGATTGATTATGAGATGGATTGGCTCCACAGAGGAAGCCACAGCCGTGACTTTGCAAGAGCTGAGCAGGGTTGGTAATAATAGGTCATTTTGGAGCTCACTCATTCACAGGGCTGCCTAAGTTGGGAGTGACCTGATGGCACATAGAAACAGCAACAGAGGCGACTGGAGTTTCAGGGAGAAAACACATGGAAAGCCAAAGGGTGCCCACTCCTGGTTGTCACAATGATAGGAAAGCCTACTCTATTTTATAGGCCAATCTTTAATAACATATAATAACTAATAAAAACACATGAAGAGCTGTGCTGGATCAAACAGAAGGACATCATTTAGCTGCCTAAAGGAAACAGGGCCATTAGGGCACAAGTGCAACTTCACCCTCCATATCAACACACCCCCAACAACTAATGTATGGAGGCATGTTGCCATTAGTAACCCTCCACATACAGATACATTTGAAAGACTTACCTGCACACAAATCTGATCCCACTGCTGCCCACACTGTTTAAACTGTCAGTCTTAGTTTGCAAAATAAATGGCATCAGAAAAGTGTGAGGAAGAGGCCAGGTTTAAACACAGATATAGACCAGTGTGGGATACTTATGCAACTGATAGCACTGACTTCCACAGCCACGCGATCTGAGAACTTACCATCCTGCGTGCAGGCACCTAACAGATTAATGATATTTTTGTGCTTCCCAATCATTTTCATCATTTCCATTTCCGAGACCAAGTCAGAAAGATCTTTGTCTGTGGCATCATCTATACAATATACAGAATGGGGGGGGGGAGAGGGGAAATCAAGGAAAAGCACACTTTAATCATATGGAATTCATTCAGTATCGTATTTGGTCCTCTGAACTAGAAGCCTGACTGACTACCCACACTTACCAGCTGAACATGTCTGCTTTTCTGTTGCCCTGCATTACTGTAGGCTGCCCATAAAGTTGGCAGTGTATTCCCCTCCTTTCCATGATGTATGCCTCATTCTATCCAGTAGCTCAAGCTTGGTGTAAGAAAGGATGCTTCCAGACCCTCCAAAGTGCAGGCAACCAGTGCTTTATTTCTAATTACTGATTAGTAGTCTAAACACATGCTTAGGAAGGGTAAAAGGAACAATTCGGATTCCCATTGCTTCTAGCCCACAAGGAAAAGGCAAAATTAACACCACAGGTAGGGCTATTTTTGGATATAAACAATCAACACAATTTGAAAAGCTCACAGCAGGAAGTATAATCATAATGTAAAAGAAAGGGCCTTCTGCTTTGAGGATGGCAAGGCACATATTCCTTCTACTGGCACTCCTGGAATGACATTTTCAAGCAGATTTGCTGTTTTGGATTCAGACTGTCCAGGCATTTGAGCTAGATTACACGACAATTTGCTTCCTATTGTTTCCTATCTTTTCTCCCTCTTTTTGGTAGTTTAAAAAAAATTGAAAAAGTACACAATGTGAAGAGTAGCAACCTCTTTAATAAGCTCGGAGAGGTGAAGTAACAGGAAAGGGAAGAATAGAAGTGCTCATTTCAATGGACTTGGCGTAAGGATACAGAGTGCTTAGTAAAAAGAGGTACAAGCTAAGGAGAGCCCAGAAAGTCTGAGAGACAGAACAGGAGGAGGCAGGGCCAGAGAGGAAACATGGAAGAAACCAATGCAGAGAGAACCAGTGCAGGACTAGAAGTAAGAAATACAGAGAGCCACAGCACATGGGAGCCCATCTCCTGCCATTCTGTGTTCTCAGTACCTTTCAGCATCTTGACAGCTACAGTGACAGGCTTGTTTGGTTTCTCTTTATCAATTCCCATTGCTTCTGCCATCACTACTTGACCAAAACAGCCTTCACCCAATGGCTTGCCAAGGGTCAGGCTGAAATGAAGAAGACAAGCAAAGACAATCAGTGTGTGAGCTGCTATGATATGTAGGCAACTAACAGCCAACCACTTGAAAAGTGCACATGCAGCATATTTTACCCACCGAGATCTGGCCAATTCCCACTTGGGGTCAGATGGCAGTTCGAGCTCTGAGACATTTGCCAGCATTGGTCCATCGCTGGAGGACAGGCGGGTGATCCTGACCAGTGGAGTATTAGAATTCATGGAAGAATTGGACTCCAAAGACACCTGCTTAAATAGACGAAATGAGATGTTATTGCCAACAGCCTTGATAAGAAGCAGAAAAACAGACTGACAAAAAGGGAACAGCTGAATTTCTTGAATTAATCTTGTTCTTTTTAGTTATTGGGACTTAGAAAAGCAATTATTTTTCTTTTAAGATGCATGTTTCTGACAGAACACAGCTCCCAATTTCAGCAGTACAATGTAGCCAACCAAAGGGGAAAGTTAAATTTACTTTTATCATGTTACCTGTTTTAACCTCCTAGAGATTCACATCCAAAAGCAGCCCATCTGCCATTTCCTGAGAATTAGTAGACTATCAGAATTTGTCTGCTTCCTAGCCATTTATCTTTCATGAGGAACTTTTTACCACCAGGACCATGTCTCTTCCTCTAGATCAAGCAATTATATTGCATAGGAAGACCCCAGAGGGAGATTCCACTCCTCAAGACTTATGCTACTCAATACAACAAGGATTGAACCTAAACAGAGAAGCAACAAATATCTAGAAAAATATACATTACCCTTTTAAGATCTTAGAATTTTTTTAAAAAATATGTTATATCTTATGGTGTTTTAATTTTGAGCTACCTTGAGTCCCCTACTACAGTAAGGGGAGAAAGGTGACATATAAAATACAATACAATGAGATCAGCCATTGGTTAGTTCCCAGTACCTCTCTTTCTGGAAATCTCAGCCAACAAAAGTCAGTCCAAGATACCATGGTATCAGCGTGACTGCCAATTACTTGTCCTGGAGATAGTAGTGGCAACAGGACCCTGCTTAGCTGTGTCTTCTCTTTATGCCTTGCTATGCCATTTTCTCAAAAGGATCATATGCTGCTTCTCATTTGGCAGGTCTGTTCAGCACATTCTTTCTTTCTTTCTTTCTTTCTTTCTTTCTTTCTTTCTTTCTTTCTTTCTTTCTTTCTTTCTTTCTTTCTTTCTTTCTTTCTTTCTTTCTTTCTTTCTTTCTTTCTTTCTTTCTTTCTTTGTTTTATTTATAGGCCACCTTTCCCCTGATAAGGGGATCCAAGGTGGCTCACAATATTTAAAGTTAAAGTTAAATTTAAAGGATTTAAAGTTAAACATTAAAAAAAATAATTAAACTATATGCTAATTAAAATAAATTGAATAATTAAAAGCAAGTAAATATTAAAAACTATATTAACTCCAAGAAGGCATTCAGGAATTCAAACATGATTATTAAATGCCTGCCTGAAGAGATGGGTCTTCAGCTGTTGAAAGAAGGATAAAAGGGAGGGGGCGAACCTGATCTCCTGAGGGAAAGCATTCCATAACCTGGGAGCTGCCACAGAGAAGGCCCTCTCTCGTGTCCTCATCAACTCTGCCTGCAGTAGCAATGGGATCAAGAGGAAGGCCTCCTCTGATGATCTTAAATGCTGAGAAGGCTCATAGGGGGAGATATGGTCTTTCTGGTAGCCTAGACCCAAGCTCTATAGGGTTTTATAAGTAATGACCAGCTCTTTGACGATGCAGATGTCAGATCTGCAGAATAAGAAATGGAACTATATATTTCAAGGCTATACATTATACAAAAGCAAAAGAACAGAGATAAAATTTAAATTCCTCTCCCATGAATGGCAACCACTTATCTTGCTTACAATATTTATTGTTATTGTTGTGTGCCATCAGGTTGTTTCTCACTTATGTTGACCCTGATAGGGTCTTCAAGGTAAGTGAGATATTTAAGGGGTCATTTTTGCACGACCGCCACAGGAGTTCCCATGGCTGAGAAGGGATTTGAACCCAGGTATCTTCAGTTCTAGTCTGTCACTCTTTTCTCTACTATGTTCATAGGCAGAAATACCCAGGAAATCATTCAAGATCTAGAAAGAAGACAATGGGAACGGTAGGGATATAGGAGGGAATAGTAATCTTGTATCTACTTTCTGTTACCTGTCTCTTCAGTGGGAACTTGGAGACTTTCTGAACAGTGGTGGCATTTATAGGTTTTTTAACTGGTCTTTTAATTCTGTAAATCACCACCACCACAGCCACTAATATGAAAAGAACAAAGCCGGTCCCGTAGCTGAGGAGGCCTGCATAAAGAGAGCTGGAGTCCTCCACTGCAACTTGCTTTTCTGCTGGAGAGCAACAGACACATGTTAGGAGCCAGATTGGGTGAAAAACAGCATTGCACGACGTAGTCGTTGCAAAGAAATCTAGACAGTACTGACTAAAGTTGTATTACAGCTTGACACCCAGAGAAGTATTAAGTAAATGTTGTCCATGCACTACTTATACATTGCTACAAATATCCAGCACTGAGTCAGTGATGTGAGGGGCAATAGGCATTTCAGAGGCAAAGCATAAACTTCTGGTATTCAATAGAGTATCTGCGACTTCCAAAACGCACAGTTACTTCGATCTGTTTCTTATACCAAGTGAAAAGCAACCCTGTGTTTAAAAAACATTCTGTATCAATTTGAGTTTTCTAAATCAATAAGAAGCAGTATGCTTTGCAATACCAGAAGAATATCAGCAATAAAATGCTACTGGCTTCAAGACAGCTGGTTGGCCACTGAAGGAATGGCGTCTTGGACTAGATAGGCCTTCAGGCTACTGAGCAGGAAACGTTTTCTTTTTGTTTTTAAGACTGTGCCCTGGTATTTCTTTCAATTTAAACTACAGAAAAAAAATTCTTTTGCAATAAAATAATATTTAATATGTAATCACAGATAATACAGAGTGGTTCTTCAATTGCTTCTCTTTTTTTATGCCTGGAATTCCCACGTATTCTATAGAATACCAGTTTTAAACTTTACCAGTAACATCAGCAGCATATTTTGCTCTCACTGTGTTTCTCACACACACAAACACACAAATCCCTCTCTATTACTAATAAAATAACTATGATCTCTCAAATGCGTTGGAGCATAGGGATATTCAAGTTTTAAAAAAACAAAAATGGAGGATTGTTCCTCTGGGACACTGAAAAACATCTCACTTCCCTTCCATATACAGTATTAGTATATAGAGACTGTTTCATTACTTCATCATTCTTGAATGAGCAGTACCCTAAAACTGATTCTTTGATATCATCATTACTTTCTACAGAACCTGATATGATTTTCTACGTTGCTGCCATAAATCATTTTCTTTGAGTTTAGCAGTCTTTCAGAAGGCTTCCACCATGTCAAACAATGAAATATTTAACTACTCAAATACTGAGTGAAAGGGCACTGTGAGGAAGCATAGTGCAGAATCAATAAGTATGATTTGAAAGCATGAAGTGAAATGCAAAACTGAACTTTTCTGATTGAAAATGCTCAATGGGTGGTAGCTATGATTGAAAAATTGATTATTGTTGGTAGGATGAAGCAGCGCCCAACAAATTCTTCGGCGGAGCACTGATTATTAATAGATAATAATCCACACAGCATATGCTTCCCCCCCTTTTTTCCTTTTTTAAATATTTTCTCTTTTTCCTTCTTTCATCTTGATTAATTTCTTTATTGATGTTTAACCTTTGATCTATTTTATATATGGTTATTTATGTTGGTAGCTGCCTAGAGTGGTCATTTGACAAGATAGGTGGGATATAAATAAATAAATGAATGAATGAATGAATGAATGAATGAATGAATGAATGAATGAATAAATAAATAAATAAATAAATAAATAATGCTTCTCATGGCTACCGTGATGGCACCTACTGTTCACCAACCAACAGCTCTTATGCAGTACATCTTGTGGGACACTGGCTAGCAACCACAGGTAAAAACCACACTCATACAACACTTCCAAGACTTCAAGCTATAAGGCTTTCATGTTTTCCAGAACTAAACATAGGTGTTACTGAAGACAAAGAAGCACTTTAAACTAAATTTCACTGATATTAAAGGCAATTCTGCTCATTATGTCAAAGTGTAGAAATGCCAAATATTCAAGCTGTAAATGGTACAAAATAAACACATCTAAACTGGAGAGAAGCATGTTTATAGGGGAGCATGTGCAAGCAAGTTTTTTTTAAAAACCGTGTTACATCTAAATAGCTAAATGGCTGCCATTTTGAAAGTGTTTAAAAATTGCCAATAGAATGTGGCCTGTCTTTTCAAGTGAGAAATAAATGATTAACTACCATTTGCATGGCCCAGAACCAACAGATTATGCTCTTGGTACATGATTATGCTTCCCTGAATGCATATTGTTTGAGGAGTGATACTCATCTACTGCTCAAGGACTTGGCATTTCAATAAATGGTGCAAAGGCACCTTTGAGAGGGAAAGGAAAAGTTGACAGACCAAAAGTACCTGGTAACACTGTAAGCCAAGCAGAATGATGTGAAAACCCAATAGAATTCCCAGCAAGACAAGTATATTCCCCAGCGTCCTCAAAAGTAACATTCTGCAAGTATAGAATTTCTAGCTCCTTATCGGTTTTGTTAACACCTGCTGTCTATTGGGGAAAGGGGTAGAGAAGGAAGGGAGAAAAAAACCACACAGGATAAGCCAAATTCCCAGAGAGGGTAACACACAAGCTCAGGCAAAATTCAAAAGCAGATTGCAGACTCTTAAGATGCCAGTAGATTGTTGTCATTCTTTACCACAACCAGCTGTATAAAAAGCAAAGAGCTCCCTTCACCAGGCTCTTACTCTGTCCCACTAATGATGCAGGCAGCAAAAGCATCAGAATGAAAAATGGTCTCCACAATATGACTGCCTCTTGGTTAGTATGGCAGGCGGGGGGGGGTACGGGGGGGCATACTATTTATTTATTTAGGTAGAGGGAGGGGAGAGGAAAAGAATAAATCAAAAAGCAGCCATTAAAATGAAGCTGAAGTCAGCTGATGTGCAGAGTTAAACAGCAAAATGAAGATTTGCTTTTCACCACCACCATCATTTGGGTGAAATTAATCAGGACTTTTTCTCATAATGAAACACCATTTTGAAATAAGCATCTTATTATCTCCGCTACTTTTGGTGGTTCAGTGTATTTAATTGCCAATTACTGAAATAATAATTTTCTGATGGAAACATGGAAAGAGGTTTGCCAAGTATTCTGGAATCTTCTCTTTCCCAGTTGTAGAGAGTCTTTCTAAGACCTGATTTTTGATAAACAATGAAACAAGAAAACTGAAAAAAAAAGAAGTGATTTTGAGAGGGGTTACTGTAGGTAATTCACATGTAATTAAGCAAGAATTTAACTGGCAGTCATTCATGTGGGAATTTTTCATTGCAACTGATTTTAAAAGCGTTAAATAATTCTAAAAGTTAGGAGAGTAAAAGGAATACAATTGAGACATATAGTATCAGTAAATATTATGGAATATAAAATGAATATTAATGTAATAACTAGCATCTTAAAATGTTAATGCTTATTCTGGCAGTTGCTAAACCTTTGGGACAGAGTCGAGGGTTTACCTGGTTCTGATTTGCCAATGTGGAGCCAAAAAGATTTTTCGGCTCTGCCTACGAAATTGCTGGCTCTACATAGATATTCGCCTTCATCCTGTTCTGTCACATTGAACAGGTTTAGTTTAGCATCAGCTTCAGCGTTTTTACTGATCCAAGACTGCAGAACAGACAGAAACCTGAACTTCAGTAAACCAAGCAGTATCTCTCCATTACATGTTACACACAGGGAACGGATTCAGCTGTTTAATATACCGTGCAGCATCTTTCTGCATTCAGAGATTCATTCACTAACAGTTCTGTGGAAGCTAACAAACAGTTTAAATGTAGAAGCAAAAGGATTCAAATTTTTCGGGAGAGCCTGCATCTAGTGTTTCTTTCCCCCATTTCTCTCTCTTTTTAAAAAAGCAGCTTCTATGGCTCCTGCTTATGTGAAAACTGCCCTTAGTGAACACAAAACCCCTCATGCTTTTAAAACTGTGATCCTGAGCTCCATACGAACTGTTGTGTTTCTCAGACTTCATTTGTCCTAACTAGTCAGTGTTACAACACACCAAAATTTTCTGTCACTTTTAATTCAGCCTTGAAGTTGGCTAACAGGTCTTCTTGGAAGAATCAGTTTCATATGCTAATTTGCCTCCTCATCTAGGACCTCCTTGATTGCCAACCAATTCAATCAGGAGCTTGGTGGTGTTTAAAGGGAAGAAACAAAATGAAGGATGCTCAGGAACTGTGCCCCTGATTCTTCTCTGGAGGTGGCTGAAGACCTGGGGTGCACTATGGCCTGTGAGTAGACCCTGGATCAACTTGTCCAGACCATCTACCCAGCTCTCACAGACTGGCAACATATCTGTTGCAGTGCTGTTGTTGTACTTATGTTAAGACCCAACACTAGTTGGTTGCTTAGTACTTTTTACATCAGTGCAAGAGAAAACTTCATTTATACTGACATTCTGCTTTTCTTTCAGTGAACTCAAGATGGCATGCATGGTTCTTCCCTTCTCCATCTTTTCCTCAGAACAACTGTGAAGTAGGTCAGATTATGACAGAGTGGCAAGATGATCCAGTGTGTTTTACTGTTCATAGGGAACCAGAATTCGGCTCCTCAGAGTGCTCATAACTAAATACTTTAACTAAATATGCTACACTGGCTGTCCAGCGGGTGTCCAAAAGGACAAGTCAAAATTGTTGCTTCACGATATTTGGATAGAAAGTATTTGGGAAAACCAAAACCAAATTCACAAACATCCACAAAAGTTCAACCATTGTTTTTGGAAGTGGTAGTCCCAATCTGGTGCTAGAAGCTGGTCCACCTAGCGATTGTGTTCCTAGAGAGAGCTGCAAAAACTCCCACAAGAACCTTGTGAGCTAAATCACTATTATTGGCTGTAGAAATGCGGTGGCTGGGGCCATGAGTGAGTGGCTCATGTAGGTCACCTTGTGAGTTCATGACAAAGTGAGACCTGAACTGGAGACTGCCAGATTTGTAGCTTTATCTCTCACCTATTACTAGACAGATAAGGTTAAATATTACTGCAGCCAGTGATATTTAATGTAAAATTCAGTTTAACAGTTAAAAATCAAATGTAACTGTTAACCTGGTATGTCTAAGGTAACATACGTAAGATACAGTGGTGCCTTGATTTACGAACATCCCTACTTACGACCATTTCGAGATACGACCAGCTCCGGCCGCAAAATTTTATTCTATCTGCGACCGGAGCTTCCACTTATGAACAGAAAAAGGCAGGGAAAAAAGGTGGGAAATTTGAATTTCTAACTGTAGGTGGCGACAAGGCTGCTTCTTTGTAGCTCTTTTGCCCCAGCAGTTAGAGCATAGGTCGGGAAACAGGGATAAATTACCCCAAATTGGGTAAAAGTGAAAATTCTGGGGGTAATGAGCAGACTGCTAGCCCCTCCCTCCCATCCCCACCCTCTGCAGCCAAAGTTCAAACTGTAAGCATACTTCCTTCGTTGCAGGAGGGCACTTCTAAATGCTCCGTTCTTTCAGTAGATTGGGAGATAAGCCTCCCTAACTGGTTACAGCTGGGGATTAGCCCCGGACAATCAATCAATCAGGGGCTTCTGAATGACTGCTTCCTCCGGAAATGACTACAAACAAGCAGGAGGATAGAGAGGATCAAGGAGCAAGCAAGGGAAAGGAGGGAAGAAAGGTGTGAGAGACCAAGGACTTCATCAAGCTTATTTAAATGTACAAAATGGAGGGAGGGAGGAAATGGAGGGAGGGTGGGTGGATGGATGGATGCGTGTGTGTGATCAGGCAGCAGAGGCAGCAGCAGCAGTAGATGGAGGTGAAAGAGCAGCTGTGCTGGGCCGCCCCTCGTGGCTGCCCATTAACTGCTCCTCTGGCAAGGGTAAAAATTAGGAGGTTGTCTTATACATTGGGGGTCATATACACTGAAAAATATGGTAATTTTCAATTTGCATTGCTCAGTGCATTTGTACAGCTAAAGTTAGTCTTAGCGCATAAGCACCAGATACATGTCACAGATTCTACAACAGAAAATAATCACATATAACTAATGCAAAATGTAGATAGCACAAATCACTTTGGACCTATCTGTATAAAACGTCTCACGAGTCATAAAACAACACCATGCTTCAACTTCTTAATCAAACCTGTAGCCATTGTAGTTTGGATGAATTTGTACAATCCTGTGCAAAAATTGACAGTTTTAAACAAAAAATATGTTTTCATCCAGTATTTTACAATATTATGCAAAATACTTTTTTTCTAATGTGAGATCTTTTATGAGAACACCAGCGATTCCTTGCCACCCTTGCTGATGACAAGAATGCTGTAATTCTTTGTCCTCATGCATGGGGATGATATTTACATCTCTAATTACATCTAATTACATCTCTAATATAGGCATTTACATCTCTAATATAGGCAAATGTACATCATCATGAGGCCAGACCATTCAATGTATTCTACTGTCCTTGGTAACTACTGAAAGACATCCACTACTGAGCCATTTTTTGAGTATGGGTAAATTAATAGGATATTACTTTCATGTTTCAGCACTTCAGTTTATTTATACATTTGCATCATCTGCTTTTTCCAAAGAACTAATGGGACTACGCATTAATTGTTTCATGTATCTTCACAATTCACCTTGAAAAATAAGCTCATTTTCCTATTCTGTGTCACATAAATGCCTTCATTGTTTTGAACTTAAGATTATTACAGTACAGTGGTGCCTCGACTTACAAACGTCCCTACTTAGGAACATTTCGAGTTATGACCAGCTCTGGCCGCAAAATTTTGCTTCTACTTGCAGCCGGACCTTCCAGTTACGGACAGAAAAAGGCAGGGAAAAAAGGTGGGAAATTCAAATTTCTAATTGTAGATGGCAATGAAGCTGCTTCTTTGTAGCTCTTTCGGCCCAGCAGTTAGAGAGTATGCGATCAGAGAAGGCTGCCTGGTAAGGTAAGGTGCTATTTTCTGCTTTTTAAAAACTGTTCTGGGTTTTTTGCAGTGTGATTTTGGGCTGGGGAGTGGTTATGTTTCTGTGCTGTGATGAATCTTGGGGTTTGTTAATTTTTTTGGTTCTCCCCCATTTCCGATGGGCCTTGGGGTGTTTGGTTGTTTTTGGAGTGTTTTTTCCCATTTCCGATGGATCTTGGGGGGTTTGGTTGCTTTTTTGGGTTTTTCCCCCCATTTCCAATGGGGTTTGGGGGTTTGGTTGCTTTTTGGGTTTTTTCCCACTTCCGATGGGTCTTGGCGGGTTTGGTTGTTTTTTGGTCCCCCCATTTCTGATGGGTCTTGGGGGGGTTGGTTGCTTTTGGGGTTTTCCAATAATGAGGAAATCAAGAAGTTCCAGAAACAGCAATGCCTGCTGTGTACACCTGAAGTACAGAGCTCCCATCTCTAGAACATAGTAAACTTAAGAGTGAGAAGCCAGCTGTTTACCAACCTTTAGGACAGTGACATAAGGAGTCCCGTCTGGGCCGTATTTGCTTCCATTGACTTCCACGTGTTTCAGCCACTGGATATGAGGCTGGGCATCACTGTACACTTTGCAGTGGAACTCAACATCATTCCCAACCACCACAGTCTGATTAGCAGGCAATCCTGCTTGGAGAATGGGACGATGGGGTGATCTTTCTGCACATATAAGAAGGAAGGGTGTCATACACATAGCCTCTGGAATCCAAGAGGGTCCTCTGCAGGGAGGGAGACTTGAGTTGCAGGACTCGCTGTCAAGTCAGATTTAAGCTGCACTGATGATTACACTCAAATCCCCACCCCCCAATAACCTGGACCCAACTCAGAAACCACTTGCCCCTCCCTTTTTGTGGAGAGAAAAAAGGCCAATTTTTAATAGGGATACAGAGGGCTTGGGACTTGAATCTTGGTACAACTTGACCCCAAAGACTTGCCAACATCCCTGGGACTTTGTCCATGTGATATGATGGTGCTGGTTTATTATTTTGCATCAAGTGTGGATAACACCACGGGGGGGGGGCTGGGGGCAATTTTTCCATTCACAGACCCAACCATGGGCTGCATCACCCCCACTCAGAGAAGTGGAAGTGACAGGTATTTCATTTTTAGTTTCAAAAAGACCTCACTCTCCAGCCTTTCTAACAGAGTGTATGGAAGTAGTGTGGCTTGGTAAAGAACTTACTTCCTGGAGTACAATTCTCTGATTTTAAGAAAAACTGCATCCACAGCCCATATACTACTCCTTACTGTTCTACACTGAACTCTTATCTTATGACATCAACTAAATGTTATCAGCTGCATTCACATGACAACATTCCAGCCTAGGTCCAATCCAAGAAGCATCAGTTACACTCAGTGGAAGGACACAATGCAGATAAATATTGGACAAGCAGTAGAAAGTTTCTCATAGCTTTCAAGGTAAACACAGATAGATTTCACATTCTGTAAAAAGAGACCGAAACCCAAAGGACACAGAATGCTAGTGAATATCATGGCTGGGCAGGGATTTAAACCCATGTCTCCCAAGTTCTGGTCCAACACTCTTACCGGCGTGTTGTGGAAATATCGTATACAATTGAACTGGCTGGGAGTCATCCTGAGGTGGCCTGGACAAAAATGCTGTGGCTTTCCAAAAGGGATATCTATGATGTGCTGATTAGATTCAGATGCTTGCATGTAGATAAGACAATTAATTCCAGCTGAACCCTCTCTGTTGCCCTTACAGGAAGGGCACAAGTTGCATACGTCTGTTTTGGAAAGTACTTCAAGAATCCATTTATATTAATAAGGATCCAAAGGGAAGGATATGAATCCACAAGCCCTTTAGGAATATTGACTATCTGATGCCAGACGAATAAAATGCTTACCAAGAACATCAAGCTGATAAGTATGCCAAATGACACCATATTTGTTTCGCACCACACAAGTGTAGTTGCCTCGGTCAGAAGGAACCACACTCTCCATGACAAGGCTCCACTGCTGATGCCGTAGCTGTGGAAAGGGAAAAAAGAAAGGCCCATAGATTTCTCTTGTTTGTGATGTCCCTCCCTGAAAAAAACTGATATGAAATATGGGGAAAGGAAGAGGTTTCATGAAGTCCAGTATCGTCAAATTAGCAATGTTGTTGCTATGGAAAAACGTTGAGATAATAAGGAAAGGACTCGATTTGTGTAATTCATTTCCATAATGAGCCAATGGAAAAAGATTATTTTAGAGTCTACTATCTCAATAAAATTATTTTCCTGTGTTGAGAAACCACCTATTTATCAGTCTAACATTAGGCAACATAGGATCTAAACTCAAACAGAATATCCATAAAAAATGTCATACATCAAAATGATCATGAATAATGCTTTACCATATACAGTACGGTATTTAAAAATTCCTGAAACTCCCTCTTAGACACACGGACACATGTGCACACATGCACACGTACACACAGTGTGAGATTTGGAACTTAAAAGAGAAAAAAAGTTAATTAGCAATTACAAATACTAGAAACTCTTCTGAAAGTTGTATTCTTGAAGGCTTCTGAAAGTTCTGAAAGTTATTCACTGCAAATGCAAAACACTAAATGAAACACAATGGTTGTGGTGGAGAATTGGGAAGTTGCACACCTAAGCAAACTCTGAACTCCAGAAACCTACTTTCTAGGTTTATATTGCAATCGTATTATGTCACATCAGTTTGTGAAAACAGCTCACTATGGGTAATCATTAATTAATGCAGGCTTGTCCTTTAAACTGTCATCTTCCTGAACAACCTTAGTTACACAAGTTGCTTCACTGATGCCATTCTCTCCACACCTCATGAAGAATGAGATTGCTTCTGTGAATTTAAGTCTTGTACAATTAGAACAGTTGTCTGCCAAAAAGGTTCTTTCCACTGCCCAATGTACTGTACTTTGCCAGCTCACTTTCAGTGACTTTTGGTTGGTCCTATTAAGTTGGGTATTTTGCTATGTACTGCTGTTCCTCGGTGGGTGGCTGTGTATATATATTTTTTTATATAAAGAGATGAACCTGGATCAATACACCTGTCTATATTTTGGATCTCTCCTGGCAGTGCACCTATAAGAATTTTCACTATGATTAACCTGCTTCTTCAACTTATCACTACACTACCAAACATAATACAATTGAAGCACAGTTAGTCATTGATTCCACAAGAATACTAATCATAGTAAATCTGTTAAGGAAAAAGACAACAGCAGTCTCGACCTAGCCATGCTAGAGCCTTATGAAGTAGGTTGGCTGGAAGAAATTAAAGATATTAAAAACGTAACCTGTTTTAAAGTGTACTAAACTGGAAGGGAAAGTATCTGTTATGTGATGTTAGTGGATTGAGTCTGCTCAGTGAGCAGAAGCTCAGCCATGGAGACTGACAATTCTGGATAGTAAAGGCTAGACCCAAGATAGCCCATGGATGCCTTACTTTGATACCCCCAATACGATGCTCTCCTTTGAATTCTTTGCCATTTTTCAGCCAATATATGGAAGGAGGTGGATTGCCAGCAGCTGGGCAACGAAAGCGCACAGTGTTTGCAGCAGGCACAGCCAGGAGCTTCCTTTCCATTCTCTCACGACGGGTCCAATAAGGAGCAACTGTTGACACAAAACAGCAACTTCAGAAACATGCCACACCAGCTAGTAAACATGGGAGGTGATCCATTTTGTAGAATGGTAGCTGAACCCACCCTCATCCCCACCCCTCAATTATGGCAAGAAGACCATTTTGCCATTCCCCAGGCAAAATGATTTCCACATATAAGAACATGCTAGTTTTGTCTGAACCTTTGAGAAGTTCCCAGAAGAGATCCCGTTCTTGACCAAACTGAAATAACTCCCAAGTAGCATAAATAAAATAAAAATAAAAAGTTGTTTTTGACAACTTTCTTTAAACAGACAATGCTCTCAATGCCATCCCAAATATTTAACATTTCAAGAATAAGCCCAGCTTTCCCTTGGGCACACACTCTCCAACATGTCATGGAAAGCATTAAGGAAGCTATTCAGGATAATGTTTCTTAGAAACACTGCAGCTTCTGTTTCCTTATTACTTCTGGTTACCTTGCAAGGGAACACCTGAACAAGAATTTGCCTTGGGTGCACAAAGGGCAGAAAGATACAGGGTGGAGAGAACTAAATGGGTGGAGATTGGTAGCTGAGAACCCTTTGGGTGGTTCAGTGTGTAATTTCCATCAGGACGTTGTTGAACTGGCAAGAAGCACCCTGCTAGCTCCAGGAAAAGTCACGTTCCTGTTTAATTTAATTCAAGTAGTTGCAGGGGAAGAACTGGATTCCCCTCTCCTCCTCATTGCTTCTACCCTTCCTGGAAGGGAAAACAGCTGCTGTACAAATAAATTTTGAAGGCAACAATGCTAAGCTCATTTTCTAGGGAATAAGTCTAATTACATAAGGCTGTGCTTTTGCCTCAGCCACAGGAACAAACTTTACAGGATGGCTAACAAGGATATTGTGTGCTACAAAGTACAGTGCAATAAATACAATGCCAAATGACCCTAGAGAGGAACCTCCCTTACACTGAGTCTTAAAAAAATTAACAACAGACATAAATCAAAGAAAAGCATTGTTCCCATCTGTTTTCTTAGGTAGTTACAGCTAAATATTATCACGAAGAGGGCACAGAAGTAGTCGGGGGAGGGGGAAAACATTTTCCCTCATGCCAGTCAAACAAAGCACAGAAAATGTTGGTGAAAAATTAGGATATTTTGGCTCAGCGTTAGACACTATAAAATATATCACTATAAAAAATGTCAGCAGGCACATGGTGAAGTCTTGAAACCTACAATACATACACATTATTCCATCTTCCTTTTTCTGTGTCCCAAACTCAAGATACTTACTCCCATCTTCAGATTCATCGTCATCATCTTCATCATCACCTGAAGATGGAGATTCTTAAAACAAAAGAAATAGAAAAATAAGACATTGTGTTTGCTGGAATTAAGGTTTTGAACAATTTCTTTAATTTCTTTTTCATTATATGATTACATTAACTGTCATAAGCTCAAACAATGTTGCAATTTTCTGGTTTTCATACAACTGTATACCCATCCTCAGCACACAAAATGCAATCAAAGACTCACAGAATGTTCTAATGTATTAGATCTCAACAAGAAAAAGGAGTGAAATAAACCCACATAGGTTATCTGACAACTATTTTCTGATGTCAACTTCAAGAACATTTACACAGATGTGAAATAAACTATTCACCAAACTTTTGTCCGGTCTGCATTTTTAGTAACAGCTTTAGAGCAAATTCTTGAATTGTATCTTTCTAATTCTTTTCAGATAATTACAGACTAAATCAGATTATGTGAGCGTGCATGTGTGTACACGTGTGTGCATCCATGCATGTGCGTCTGTGTTATTTGCAATTAATTTTCCACTTGTGGTAACCTTCACAGGATTTTCAGGATTTTTAACAGTGTTTAAGTGCAAAAATACACACCTAGGAGAAATATATCAAGTGCTCACTTACAATATGGGAGATACTTGACTCAGTAATACTAAATGTGAGAAGGATCTTGGAATTGTTATAGTCAAGCAGAATATGAGCCAACAATGCAATGTGACTGCTGGTCTTCTGACCTTGCAGCACAGAGGCTTCTGCGGTTTAACCTGCAGCACCACCACATCCCATTACATCTAATTCTAATCTGTTTTACAACTAAGCAAAATACAACAATTTTACTAAAGTGTTTTCAAATTAATTATCTCAGAAGGAATTTTTTTAGAAGATCAGTATAAACTGCAGAAGCCTCTGTGCTGCAAGGTCAGAAGACCAGCAAAGATCGAATCCACGAGACGGAGTGAGCACCCGTCGCTTGTCCCAGCTCCTGCCAACCTAGCAGTTTGAAAGCATGTAAAAATGCGAGTAGATAAATCGGTACCACCTCGGTGGGAAGGTAATGGCATTCCGTGTCTAGTCGCTCTGGCCACATGACCACGGAAACTGCCTTCGGACAAACGCTGGCTCTATGGCTTGGAAATGGGGATGAGCACTGTGCCCTAGAGTCAGACACGACTGGACTAAATGTAAAGGGGAACCACCTTTAACCTTTTAAATATAAATAAACTTGTTAGATTACTTCCTAGTTAACTTAATTAGCACTTTCTTGCTATTCAGCATTTCTAATTTTGACTCCACCCAAATAACTTTGATAAGGTGACCGATAAATTCCCAACACAAAAATGGTTTTGCTGAAGAAATCTGCACTATTCTCCTTGGCCAGGGGTGTATACGTGATAAGATTTTTCTGTTGCTAAGACAGAGGCATACTGAGTCTCGGCAGGTCTACAAATGAGAACACAAGCAAAATCATATTTTTTTGCCCCTTACAGCTATCTGGACTTGGTATAATTGCTATGACATGAACATATCTCCAGGCATTTTTTTTTCTGTTTCATGCCTTCTCCTCTGAAGTTCTTGACATTCAGCTTTCTTTAGAAACCACAACTGAATACAACATTCCTGATGAGGGTGTAGAAATATATATGCCGAAATAAACTATTTTCAGTACACATCTCCTGCTCTTTCCCTCACAATATACAGATTAGCTACCACTATACAGGTAAAAGTTGTTACCACTGAACTATTTTGAATTACCATAAGTGCCAACATTTCAATATAAGCCATTTTTTAAATTTCTTTGGAGGTTGAGAGAATCGAGGGGCTGTAAAATGGTGGAAAACATTTTCTACACAGGACTACAGTGCCTAAAGATGTGAGGGCTGAAAATAAGGAAAACATTACTGGAAAATAAAAAGAGCAGTCAAGTATGGCCGATTTCAAAAGGACTCAGCAGCTAACCACAGAAGGAACCTGTGCAATTGATGAACTCAAAATTTTAATATCAGGTTCCAATTCTAATTGGTTTGGCCTGGTTAAATAAATAACCAAAAGCATTAACACTCTCTCTGCATGCAGCCCAACAACAACAATATAATTCAAGCACCATTCTGGTTAGAACATTTCCCAAAGGATTGTGTTGGTGTTCCTTTGTGCTAGTTCCCAATTCCTGTTTACATGAGAAACAGCAGAAATCATTGGCCTCAGAGTTTGCAAACATAGAACTGCAGAACTCCAGCCCCCCCCCCCCGCTGCCAAAGCAAGAAATCCACTTCCCTCATAGGCTGCCATGAACATTTACTTTAAAGTGTCCAGTGGGGCTTACTGCCATTTATTTATTTGGGCCATTTCTAGCCGATTTTTTTCACTAGTAAGCTTATGGTTCTCCTCACACTACCCTCACAGCACAATAGCCTGAAATAGGAGAGTCCGACAGAGATTTTAAGCTGTTAATGTAACAAGTTACCAAAACATACTAAAGCCAAGAAACTCATGTGGCATATATACATGATAAAACATGTGCAACTCACACAAGTAGCACTTGTGTTGTTGGTCTCCCCCTTTTGTCTCACAAAACCACGTGAAAAGATTGATTCCCTCCATCATTTACTGTGTGTGGCATAGTTCTTGTTTTAAAAGAACAATGTTCAGCGTGAATGTGAATTAAATACTTGCCACATTTATTTCTCATTTTAGTCACATCTGCTCATTGTTAGCAGAAATGTTGTTAAATTAGGATGACATATTCAAATTTAATTTATTATTTCCAACATCTGGTTGTTTTAGAAAGAAACTATAACCTATATAGTCTCAGAGTGCCCCAGAAGCAGAGAATAGTAAACCAATTCTGAGTACATTATGCCTGGAAAACCCTGAAAAGGGTCGCTTATAAAATCAGAATTGACTTGACAGCATGTAGTTATTATTACTACTATACCTAAAAAGTAAGCTTTTACCTATTGCCATTATTTTTATGCCGTTTTGAAATTTTGCTATTAATTTGTTGTAGCTTGAAATTTTACTATGAATTTGTTGTAATTCATAAGGAAGACAGACTCACATGCTAAAACGGATGTTTAAAGTCCTTTGGAATAACATCTATTTTGGCACATAATAGTCCAACATAAGCTACAATTCCTTATGAAGACGCCACCTACATCATAAAATGGGTGAATCTGAAGTCATTTCTCCTGGCCACATAATGGAAAGGCTGAATTGAATCCCTCCAAACCTTTTTGCTTGCATCTGGATTCCCCCCTCCATCCAAAGTTTTTTTTTTACATTAAATACAATGGGTCTATTAAACAAAACCATAATGTTTTGTGTTTTTTTTTGGCAAATACTGTTGCTGCTGACCAAATGAAAACCCTGGTTCTTTCTCCTTCATGTAGGAGCAAAAATCTCACAGTGACTGACACTTTTTTCAGTGAGGTACCTATGTGTTTTGAGACATCCTCTTTCACTGAGCATGGGAAAATTAGCTGCAACTGATGAACAAGAACAGAAACATTATTCACCTGCACATTCAACCACTACGAATCCAGAAAAGCATTCCATACCAAAAATGTTTAGATTCTGTTTGATTTATTTGAAAGAAAAAGTGCACTAAAATAGCAATATGCTTCTGATCAATTCATGGTCAAAAGAATACGTTGATCTTCAAGATCTGATTCAGGTGAGCCTAAGACCAAAGGAAAGCCTGGCAAAACACATTTTGACTTGGGGACACAAAGTATTCTACATATTCAGACCTTTGCTGCATTTGTTGAAAACTGAGGAGATAACAGAACATTGTTCCACTCACCTATTACACGTATTGTGAAGTTCCTGAGTATTTCAACCGAGTGCCTTGGTTTGCAGCTGTATAGGCCGGAGTCCACATATGACACGTTAATAATCTTCAACAGTTTTTGGCCGATATGAGTCCGGTTTGTAGGTGATAGCCCTAAGCCATCTTTATACCAGAAGGCAGGCACAGAGGAAGCTGGAATATTACATTGGAGTTCAAGGGTATCACCAATTCCAACCACCAATTCTTCAAAGACAGCAGTTTCACTCCTAAAATAATCTGTGAGAGAAATGTATAATGAAAATATGTAATCAGGTTCTTACACATTCAGAATATATGTTATAAAACAACAATAACAACAATAACAACAGATTTTTTAAACATTTTTAACTGGAATTTTGGAATAATAAATACAGTTTTAAAAAGAGAAGAGAAGAAAGAGAAACAGGCAAAGAAGATGTGACCATGGCTGAGTCTGTACAGTAATACAAACTGACTTTATGTCCAATTTTTTTTTATTTAGAGTTGGCATCAGTAGAATGCATATTCATGCTCAGCTAAATCTGTAAAACCTTATGATTACTGAAAACAGGATGGTGAATATTTATCTTACCAGCCTTGAAGTTTGACTCTTTTAGCTACAGTAAAGGCACACAGGACTCAATCATACACTTAAGTTCAAAGTCAGAGGCACATAGCTTAAAATTACACATATTTGATATTAAATATCAAAGACTTTTTGAATACCAGATGAATACAATGTGATACATTCAACTATTGGAGCCACCACTGTACACTGCAGGAAAGTATTATCTGTTTTACATTCAAAAACTTTAGCTCAAATGGTCAAGTATTTTCCAAATTTTCATATTGGTGTCCAATATGCTGAAAATATTAATTTTTAATGAGTCAAACATAATTTTAAACCTAGAGAGATATTAGCTTTTGAGGCTTGAAGAATTTCCCACTGGACAGGGCATTCTTCCACTTTGTTCCCTCACTCTAACTTCAATGAGATCAAATTGATTTCGGTCCAATTAACATTTATAAACCACAGCTGTTAGTTTCAATGCCTTGGAAAATGCAATTAATAATTCCAACACAGCAGGAGTGACTGAGGCATTGAAAGCCAACGGCTCGTACATGGATACAAAACAGGGTCGTATTTATATCTGTAAATACTATCTACTGTGCCAGAAGTTAATTGATATGTAGATTGCAATCTTGAAAATGGAGGTGGTGGTGGAGGAAATGGCCTAGCTAGCCCCATCAATTGATCTAACATATAAATTCCATATAAAAGCCAGTTTCTTCCATTTAAAAAACTGTTTTGCAGTTTTCAAATCTGGATTACTCCAGATTGAGTTTAGTTTGAACGCCTGGCTTCTAATCAGAGCTACCCAATTGTCTCCTTCTCAGGAATTTAGGGAGGGAAGCAGCTCATACATTGAGGCTTTCTGGTAATTTTTACACACAAAAGTGCACAAATTATAACTTCTAGCTCTGGTAGTTACACAATATATGCCTGCCCCAGTTAAGCCACGCTGTGCCTTGTGCCTGTGGGCATCATCCTGTCACTACTGCTCCTATTTTGATAAGGCAGGAAAGTTTCTAAACTTCTTATAGGACCATGGAGTAAAATGGTTTAGAGAAAGCATAGCAAATGTCGTTAAACACTGACAGTCTTTTAACTTTTCCCTAAGAAAGATGCAACATGAGGACACAGCTTTTTTATACAGGAAGCAATGGCTGCTGACTTGGAAACCAACTTGTTTCCCTGTACACAACCAAAGATAACTTGGAAGACTCAAAGAACTCAGGAGTAGATTTTCTGTTTTTCCTGGCATCTGCAACAGTTAAAGGCATTTCACTTAGTTCAGCTAGGAACGATCTCCTCCTAAGATCCTGGAGATCTAATACCATCTAGAGAAGATAATTTTTGACTAGATAAAACAATAATCTCTACCAGAATAGAACAGCTTTATGTTCTAATACCTAAAAGTGGATATCCTAAAAGTATATAACTTAAGCAACTGGTTCCTGAGTTTGCTTTTCTCTTCCCTATACATTGCTTCATTTTTGGCGCCTTTTTAAAAAAGAACATGAGCCTCAACGTTAGTTTATTATTAATCTTATGAAAAAAGCAAACATACCCATTGATTCACTAGGGGAAAAAGTTCACAGTGTGCCTTTTGATTGATCATAATAAAAAAACTGCCTGTCTGTGGATTCTGCATCTTAGGTAAGCTGCTCTTGGAGTGTTCTCAGCTTATGGAGGATGCTTCGGAAATATTTTAAATGAAAAATACAACGAAAGGAGAAGATTAGTTCCTGCTTGCTTACTTTTTCACATAATAAGTGGGCTCACACTTGGTGGGCTGATTTACATCATTTTTTTCCATTTTGAACTTCACAGACTTCCTGAAAATGTATAGATACTAACTAGTTGCAGAGACACTGAGTACAAACTTGTTTGCAGCCAAAGAGAATGTTATGAAAATCAGGCAAATATTCCCAAATCTCTGCAGAATATATGGTATGTGTCATCCAAGTGCCTTCAATTTCAGGTAACCCAAAAGGTTCTACCATTTAGCACCTTTGCTCAAGTCTTGTGGCTGCGTTTATTGGGTCTATCTGTCTCTTACATGGACCTCTTATTCTCCTCCTCTCTTCAATTTTCTGCAAAATTGTGCACAATTAAATGCAGTTACCTAACTGGGGCCACGGTCACACCAGGGAAATATTCCCCACTTCTAACAATACTTTCCATACCTCTGTTGTGATGCATCATGGTCATGTGGTATATATACCTGGATGAGCATCCCAATTGTTTTAATGTTAGCAATTCATTTTCTTCAGTTTGAATGGTTATGGCCAGCTGCACCATAGTACTGATTTATTTTCCTTTCTTATTTTATGGGGCACTGCAGCCCCTTAACTGTAGTTTCTTTTTAATACAATTTTTAAATGGTACATCAACATGTTGCTGGCATCTCTGGAGTAGAGTGTTCTGAGAAGTGGTTTTTCATTCCCTTCTTAGATTGGACCCAGAGCCTCTGCTGTTGGAACCCCTACATGGGCTTAATGGACATTCCAGCAGAAATACCTGGTGTTTCCCTTAGATTCCACTATAAAGATATCCTGCCTCAGTAGCCCCCGATATCCTTTATGAAAAAGTCAAATAAAATACCATTTATTATTTAAGGTATTATTGATATAGCTTAATCTCAGCACCCATGTTTTCACTCCTCTTTCATCTCTTACAAAAAGAAAGAGGAGAAAAAAAAACCCCAACCATAGCTCTGTGTTGGCAGATTAGAATCCTGGTTTTAAAACTTGCAAATGTAATTTTTAATAAATTTGTTTTAAAGTAAATTCAGATGTCCTTCTGAACTTTTTTTTAAAAAATGTAAGTGATTACTGTAACTGATTTTGTTAAAATCATCTACTTTCACCCAGCTTAGCTCCCATATATGCAAATTCAGGTACAATAAAATCTATCAGTTTTTAATACACAGAAGAATCTTGGTTCTTTCCCCTTTGTGCCTGGGTCACACTGCCTCTAAGGAAAGGGTCATTTTACCCTCCAAAAGAGCTCCCTTCTACAGAGCTACCTTCACAGGCATTCTTGGCTCTCTTTGTTAACCTCCTGGCAAACTGGGTACCTGCCGTCCCTATTGTATTTATCCAGACACCTCACACAATGGATGTCAGGTCAAATGATCTTTCTATCATTATGGTCACAGTTTTTACAGAGATTCATCCCCAAAGTTCAGAAGTGAACTGAGCTTTCAGTTCTAATTCAAGCTCAAATATAAACTGGGCAGTACCTGTACAAAAAGAGCCATTAATCTCCTCATGCCATTCAAGAAAGCCATTTCTGTCTCCACCAGATGTGGATTGAATTAGGAGTTCACTGTCCATTCTTTTTTGCAATGCAAGTTACATTCCAGCCCACACCTCCCCTCCCCTCCTTCTGGTCCCACTTCTGCTGATGTTTCCTTCATTTGGTCCCCCCTCTGTTTATCTTTTAATGGTTTACAGTGAAGCTGCATTTTCATTTAAATCTTCACACTACATTTTTCAAAAACATTTCTAGAAAAATAACATTCTAATAGTACAGGATATTCAAAGGTTGAACAGTAATTTTGCAAAATGCACAATAATTATTGTCAGAATTATTCCACAGCAAGGATCACCACTACCTTCCCCTTTCCATCCATTACTATTTTCTCTTGCTTTCAAGTGACACTGGTAGGAGCTGTCTTCTCTCATGATATTTTTCTATTTAAAAGTTTTTCAAAAATGTAGTAGAGTCTGACAGCAAACCATAATCATGGTGCTTTGCTTCTGCATATCCCTTCCCCCCCCCACCCCGCCGAACATCACATACCTAAATCATTGAAACACCACCTAAAAACACACCCACTGTTTATAAGACAACTAACCACACAGGAAAAACTGAAGTCTTCTGGCTTGAAAAAGCAGAAGCAGCAGCAGAAAAAAATAGCTGCTTTGGGAGTAAAAAGGGCTGAAGCAATTCAATTCAGCTTTTGATTCATGCAGTCAGTAAAAAAAAATACTTTGAGTTCACCTGTTTCATAAGCTGAGTAAATCTTGCAATACTTGATCATGTAGTTGCACTGCAAGAAACAGTCAATGTTTTCTCTTTCCACCCCTCTTTTCACTTTGTTTTCACTGCACAACCCACATATGTTACAGAAGACACACATCCATTGGCATGACAGGTCATAGCAGAAGTTGCATACCCTCTCACAGTGCAGCCCATGGCAGAAGTGTGAAGTGGCATGAATTGTCTGTGTCACTCCTTCCTCCAAGTGCACCCAATGCAGATTTACTGACCATGCAGAAGAGTCTGAAAGGTGGAACTGTTTCTGCTGTTCCTATTACTATCAAGACTTTTTTTATTCCTGAAGGAAGGTTAATTTCAAAACATGTTATAAATAAATTCTAATCTCTGAGCACCAGTTGCAGGTTTGCCTTTCTTGTTTCTAACAGCTGTAATCGGAGGGCATGTGTTGCTGACCATGGCATCGAAAGTACGTATAATTACCACCAAACAATATTAATCCCGAGGCAAATACGACAACAGCTAATGGCTGACTTTCTTGTTTCTAACAGCTGTAATCGGAGAGCATGTGTTGCTGACCATGGCATTGAAAGTATAATTACCACCAAACAATATTAATCCTGAGGCAAATACTACAACAGCTAATGGCTGTCTTATTGTCCCCCAACCTCTGCCCCTGGACAAATAC